AGGTTTAAGGCCAAAGGCCGAATTACAACGCATTACTCTCGCGGCATTACATTACTCAAGCACTTAGCCCCCGCGAAACACCACAACTTGTACTCATCTTTAATTTTAGCAACAATAACCCCCACCGGCACCGCGGTGCCCCTGAAGACACGAGCATTCCTTTCTTTCCAGATTTCCCATGAGACTAGCATCATAAGAGAGAGCATCGGCCGGCGCGACTGCGATGTGTTGGATGCAATCAGGTTCCACCAAGACTTCACCGAATCCATCACCACCCAAGCCGAAGGATGCACATCCCCCAGGCCAAGCCAAGATTTGACTATATCCCAAACTCGAACAGTGTAGCGGCACCGGAAGAGGATGTGCGCCGCGGATTCTTGCACCTGCTTACAAAGAGGACAACGATCACAATTAGGCCATCCACGTCGTTGGAGCCTATCGGCCGTCCAAATCCTATTGTTGATAACCAACCAGGCAAAAAATTTGCATTTGGGGGGAGCCCAATTCTTCCAAACCCACTGTAACATGTTAGTGTCAACCAGACCAGAGAACTGAGCTTTGTAGGCCGACGCCGCAGTGTACAGGCCATCATTAGTGAACTTCCATGAGATAGTGTCGACCCCATCTGGGTTGAGTTGAACAACCGAAATTTTTTCCCAAAGGTTGACGAACTGAGTGAGCTGGTTAGCGGAGAAGATGCCACGAGAGTTGATTTGGGAGACCCAGAAGTTGTTTTGCAAAGCCTTGTTCACCGAGCAGCCCCTTCGTTTTGAAATTTCAAAAATCATTGGGGCGATGTCTTTGGGCCTGATGCCATCAAGCCAAGCAGACTCCCAAAAGGAGGCACGAAGTCCATCTCCAATTAAGACCTTGGTGGCAGACGCAAAGATGTCTTTATCTCTCTTATCGCAAGGGTTCCCCAACCGCACCCAAGGCTTCGCCGGGTCCATCCATTCCGCCCAGAGCCAACGTAAACGGAGAGCAGATGCAAATTTCTGTAGATTTAGGATGCCTAGTCCGCCATGAGCTTTGGATTTACACACTTGTTCCCAATTGATCTTGCATTTGCCACCGGTGACCTTGTCACAGCCAGCCCAAAGGAAAGCACGCCGAAGGGAGTCAATCTTCTTCAAAACCTCCACTGGCAGATCAAGTGCAGTCATGTAGTATATGGCGATGGCTGTGAGGACAGATTTGACGAGAACCACCCTGCCCGAAGAGGCCATGAGCATGCCAATCCAAGGAGTGAGTTGGGCAGCAATCTTGTCTTCGAGCGGCTGGAAGTGGATTCTCTTTAGTCTCTTAACCGCTAACGGCAGTCCCAAATATTTCATAGGGAAGGTGGAGCGGTTCGCAGGGAAGGAATGGAGGATATCATCAAGGTCAAGGCTCACACAGCGAATGGGGGCGACTAAGCTTTTAGTGCAGTTTGTCATCAATCCAGTGACCTCCCCAAAGCTCGCCAGTGTTTCCACAAAGAAATTTACATCATCCTTGATTGGCGCAAGGAAGACCGCAGCGTCGTCCGCATAGAGGGAGGCTCGAAAAGTCATCACATCTCCTCCAATAGGTTTATTCAAGCTGCACCAATTTCTTTTGTTATTACATGACTCATATCCACTAAAAAAAATTACATGACACATATGATCATATTTCTGTATCAAATTTTGAAGTCTGCGCACCATATTTCTGTATATTTCTCAGTATAACTGATCAAATTTGATATGCTATGCTGCTGTGATGGGACTTTATTTTACCCCAGGAAAATGATTCGGATGAGTGAACAATAATATCGTTCTTTGTCTTTCTTTTGGAACATCGAAAAGGGTACATAAACCATTACAAGTTCATAACTGGTGATTCCTTGAATCATTCTTTTCTTTAGGAGAATGTCTTAGACCATTTGCATTACAAGCAAAGTAAAAGTACAGGACTCGACAGGGTGACAACTGAAGGTGCTGTTGGAAGTAGTCCTTTTTGAGTGAGCTGCTTTCTCTGTCCGAGTATATAGATTATCGCCTTGAATCTTTCTGGAAGAAATGAAATATGCTTTACCATTTACAAGCAAACCAAATCACCGGCACTGGCAAGTTGCCAGGTATACATCACGTGAATTAAGATAATTGTTACTGCAGCGAACAAACTAAAATTACTGTTTGAAGTGCTCATTTGGCCTCCGCAAAGGTATGCCAGACACAGATTCAGAACAAGTGAATCATATGCAAACCACGTAGGCCTCTCAGAGCAGACGAATCACTGCGGGAAGTAGAAGGCCACCACGAACCACACGATGAATCCAACGGCTGCTCCGATGTTCGACCAGTCGTTGAGCCTGTGCAGCCTGATTCGTACCGGTCTAACGGTGAAGGCCGGCGAAGCGGAGCACTCATCTAAAGGTGCATCACAAAGCCCTTGGTTACCAGCAAAGTTCGAAGCCGAAAACTTCTGTAGCGAAGTAGGAACAGGCCCTGATAACAAGTTCTCCGCAACATTGAACGTAGTTAACCGAGTAAGCAAATCGAATTGCGGTGGAATTTGACCGCTGAGTTGGTTATGCTCAAGGTTGAGGACATTCAGATATGTCATATTTGACATGCTCTCTGGGATTGATCCCGAAAAGCTATTGTACGAAAGATCCAGATATGTCAGCTTCTGCACCTGCTGTAAAATGTCAGAAGGGATCGGTCCTGAAAAATTGTTATTCCACAGGTCCAGGCCCGTCATGCTTGAACAATATTGAAGACCTTTAGGAAATGAGCCTTCAAGTCCAAGGTTGCCGAGGCGCAGAGAGAGAACCCTGTTCTCGTCGGGCTGCCAGCATTCCACACCAGTAAAGCGGCATATGAAACCGCTGGTGGCATTTTCAAAGTTCCAAGAGGATTTGAGTACACCGTTGGGATCAATCACTGATTGATGTACGGACTTGAGGCACTGGATATCATGTTCGGAACCAAAACACAACAATGAGCTGCTCAAGAGGAGAAAAAAAAGGATGAACTTGGTATCATCAGCCATCATAAATGGGGAGATAAACAAACAGCTGCTCTGTGCCAAAAGTTGCAGCTTGTCAATTCCAACGCCACCTGATCAAAACTTGTGTAAGAACACTTGAACACGCTGGGGGCAGCCCCAGTGCATGTAGCTCCCGCTTGCGCGGGGTCTGGGGAAGGGTCCGACCACTTTGGGTCTATTGTACGCAGCCTTTCCCTACATTTCTGCAAGAGGCTGTTTTCAGGACTTGAACCCGTGACCTCATGGTCACAAGGCAGCAGCTTTACCACTAGGTCAACACTTGAACACGCTACTTGGAAAAATAGGAAATGATTTTCTCAGACATGGAGACACCACAAAGTAGACTCCAAAAGTGCAAATAACAAATTAATTTCATGTCATACTTCCTACACAGTATGAGGTGCTTCAGAAAACTCACCAGTTCATCAAGCCAAATTAGAAGCCACCATCTACTGTACATGAACGGGTGCAGCCCTTTTAAAACAGAGAATCCCTGCACTGGAGCATAGACTTTTCTTCTGCCAAACCCGAAGTCCTATTGACTCGGAAGGATTTGCTACAAGTATAAATGGAAGAAAGAACTACCGTGTGCCTACTGCCAATAGTCCCCATCCTGAGCTGTCTCCGAAGACTTCATTAGTCATGACTCACCGTCCAGAGAAAAATACCACTCTAGTGTATAACTTGTGGAGCTGATGCCACCAAATCATCAATTTATGAAGACGTATGTGACAGGAAGGTAAACTTTTCCAAGAGTAAAGGCAGTGCTTCTCCCAGCCTTAACTAAGTAGGCATTTGCATTAATTTACGATAAAAGTATAAAACCATGCCTTGGTACTTATAAATTACTTTTCCATATTGGGAAAAAATACTGGGAATTATGTGATGCTACTCTGGGTGGACCAACGGTGGTAACCTCTACGATAACCCAAGTGTATCTTCTACAAAAGTTTGTAAAGCACTCGACCAATCTCAATACGAATCATGGTCATGAGTATGGAAAGAAGGCACACGGCAGAGAGACCAACCCAGCGTCGTCAAGTCTCCAGTGTCAGTAGAATTGTCACTGAGGAATGTGTGGATGGAGTTTGCATCATCGCCTAACAGAATAGAATTTTGAACCCACTTGCGAGAACTCTGATCTCACGGTCTCGCTGGGTGCATTTGCAGTTACTTTTACTCCGAAAATATTCTGGATTTTCAGAAACATGAATATATATATCATTCCTATAACTCTACCTAAATCACTGGACAAAAAACCCGAATATAGAGTGCGGACGTACCCTTGTGGATAAAATCTGGGCGCTTTGAAGACGCCCTCAAGGTTGAGGGAGGACAACGCTGCAGAACTGGGATGTCTGCTCTCTTACTAGGCAGAAAACATGAAGGGCATAATTATTCTGATTCTGCCACACCTATAAAATATCAATTTTGCTCCTGTATATTTTCTTAATACAGCTGATCAAATTTGATATGTTATGTTTCTGTGATGGGAGTTCATTTCCCTGGAGAAAAATGATTCAGGAGAGTGAAAACACAAATATAATTCTGTCTCTTTTCAAACCTCGAGAACGAGAAGAGTACATAAATCATTACAGATTTATAACCGACTAACCGTGATTCTGTGCACTTTTCTTTCCTCGAGAGAATGCCTTGCACCATTTGCACTACAAGCGAAGGAAAAACACAGGACTTGCTAGGGTACCAGGTATACATGTTGGTGAACTCTTACTGCAGGGGAGGGAACTGAAGTTGCTGTTGGAAGTGCCCGTTTGGCATCCGGATGACAAACAAAGTTCCAGAACAATCGGGTCATAGCGATGCAGGAATTTGACCACTTCCATAGCGATGCAGGAATTTGACCACTTAGTTGGTTGTGCTGAAGGTTGAGGGCATTCAGATTCGTCAGATTTGCGATACTATCTGGGATTTCACCTGAAAATTCATTGAAGGAAAGATCCAGAGATGACAGATATGACAGCCGCCATGAGATGTCAGGAGGGATTGGTCCTGAAAAATTGTCACTTGACAGGTCCAGCATGATCACGCTTGTACAATGTTGAAGACCTTGAGGAAATGGGCCCTCAAGCCCTAGGTTGCCGAGACGCAAAGCGTAAACCTTGTTCTCGTCAGGGTGCCAACATTCCACGCCAGTAAATTGGCATACAAAACCGGATATCAGGTTCAGAACCAAAACACAATGATGAGCAGCTCAAGAGCAGAAACAAAAGGAGGAACTTGGTATAATCAGCCATCACAAACATGGAGTGAAACAAACCGCTGGTCGGCCAAAAGTTGCAGGTTGTCAATTCTAGCGTCACCTGATTAAAACTTGTGTAAGAATACTTGAAAAACGAAGAAATAGTTTGTTCAGACATGAAGCCACACAAACCAGCCTCCAGAAAAGGCAAAAGGAATATTTCATCGAGAATATGAGGTGCTTCAGAAAACTCACCAGTTGATCAAGCTAAGACAGAAGCCACAACCTGCCATGTTGAACAGGCACAACTCTTTAAAAGGGTCAAACCCTGATTTTTTTTCTTCTCCTAATTCATCAAAGTCCAACTGAGTGGGAGACTACCAAGCACGAAGCACATAGAAGAAAGACTACTAAGCAAGTAAGCAGTGCACGAAGACTTACCCCACTAAGAGAAAATTGGTGGACTTCTAAGCAAGTAAGCAGTTCACGAGGACAGGCAACTAATACTTTGTCAAAAGTAAAACAGTGCTTCTAGTCCTAACTATACTAACTACTAGTAGATACTTGGATTACTTTAGGATAAAACCACAACTTGGTGATAAAATAATAGGTCAAAAAATACACTTCATATTCCACAAAGCATGAACCGATCAGATAAACACACATCGACATAAGAGGGTTCACAATTTTTATTATTTATTTGAATCATGAGATATTTGTATATTCATCAGAATGTACACGTACTTCACTCTTGTGACACACACACGACTTGTTTGCCCACATTTTTACCGCTGAATAGACCAACAAAGGCAGCTGGTGTGTTCTCTAGCCCAATGCTCATGTCTTCTACATATGCAATCTTGCCATCCTTGTAATGCTTGGTCATGTAATCGAGGAACTGTGGGAATAAGTTGATGTAATCACTCTGGATGAAGCCCTTCATACTAATCCGTTTTGGCACCAGGCAGAAGAGGTTGTGGATCCCTGCAGGATCAGTCATGCCGTGCTGGGAGACCATCCCACATACTGCTATGCGACCATGCATCCGCATGTTAAGGAGTACAGCATCTAGCATTGGTCCTCCTACATTCTCGAAGTAGATGTCGATACCTTCAGGAAAGTACCTATGTATGGAAAGATTGCAGAACAAAGATAACATCATTTTGGTGCTAATTCTCTCCGTTTACTGGGTGCAATAAAGGCAACCCGTTTACTGAGTGCAATAGAATTACTAATTTCAAAACAAAAAGGGTAAGCAGATGATGACCAAAAAGATCTGCCAAATTTACAATATGTTTGATTTGAGGGCCCATCTCATCCTAGAATTCATCCGACCATCATTAGATCACCCATGACTTTTGGTAGGTTTGTCATATCCCTTACTTTATACTCGTCTCCATGTTAATAAGAGATGACATGTGTTAGGCTTGGACTTAGGACCAGATGATTCATTCACCATCTGGTTCCTAAACCAAACACACAATAATCCCTAAACCAAACACACAATAATCCTAATATGTGAAAGTGTGGCTCATAATTCAGCTAGGTTCATCAATAGTTCATTCTGTTAACATGGCTTTCAGATGTTCATTATAACCTAGCTTGATCCGTCCATGGTTTATGCAACCATTGTATCTTTTTTTAGGTGTTCTGTTGTATCTTATTGAAGGAGAAGGTCTGACCTTTTTAGGGCTGCAGTCAAGTCAGGCTCCTCTTTGTAATTAAAAGCTGCATCGAATCCAAACTTATCTTTTAGGAGTTTAACCTGAAACAATATTGTAGACCCTGAATGATACAGCTAAACAGTTAACGAATGATGTACTACAAGTTTGATGAGTACTTTTTCATTTGTTCCAGCACTTCCGACAACATAGCAGCCATGGAGCTTTGCAAGTTGACCAACAATCTGGCCAACTGCTCCCGATGCAGCAGAAACAAAGACAAACTCTCCTTCCTTCGGCGAGCAAATTTCATAGAATCCAACATAAGCTGTAAAACCAGGCATGCCTGCAGAAAAGACCAGATCATTAGCAAGCATGCTCAATCAAAGAAAATTTCACAAACAGCAATATCAGAAAAAGTAGCTACATGGATCAGTACACACTAGTCCCCATTACAACATTGTCAATCCGCAACAGACCACTTGACCACGCCATTGTCAATTCATCAACAAAAAAGGTGTAGTCCCTTTCACATTTCCCTCAACCACATACCTTCATTCATTTTGTGCCTATTCTAACCTCCATTTTCTTCACGATTACACATTACAAATTTATGCAATCAGGGAAAGACTTTCTAAAAGAAACACGGTGTTCTCCTTCGTATAATTACATATCTTCACTCATGATATATACTGTCGATGCTTCAGGACTCAACTGAATGAGTAAAAATAGCAGCAAGAAACTAACCGAGAAGCCCCAAATAGTAGGAGAGTGGTATGCCACTTTGCTGAATCTTGTTCAGCTGTTCAGGCTTGTCAATCAAGCTGTATTCCTCCCAGCCAGTCATTCCCGAAACAATGTCACCGGCAACGAACCCCGGATGAGTGGAATCCACCACTCTCGCCACGCCCAGCCCTTCTATAACCTTGACAGATAAAACTTTGCCTGATCAGTAACCAGCAACAACAAGGGAGAGCAGTCAGAAGGGGAAAAAGACTGACAGATCCGGGCTTGAACGGGGGGATGTAGGAGCCGTGGAAGTCCCGCATCCGGCCGCGCATGTAGGGGTCGCAGGAGAGGTAGAGGTTCTTCACCAGCACGGCCGGGCCGGCGGCGCCCTCGGGGACGCGCAGCGGCACGGCGCCGCCGTCGACGAGCGCCATGTCGTCCTCCCTCGGCGCGCGGCTGATGTACTCCCGCAGCACCACCTTCCTGTTCCTCGCCGACCCCGCCGGCGGGCTCGCTTGCTCCATTGCCGCCGTCCGGGGAGTAGAGAGCGTCTTTGGCGGATGGAGTGGAACTCGCCGAGGTGAGGTAAGCTGCCGGTGAACAGTGGGGGGAAGAGAGTCGCCGAGGTTTAGGTAGGTGGGGGTGCCGCGGGTGGTAGCTGAATCCGACGGTCGGGAGGGGGGAGACCGGTTGGGTCAACTTTGCCGAATCATTTTCAGCCGTTAGTCTCGTCAATGGTGACTACGTTTTGTTAAAAAAAATGCATATGTAATTCAAAAAAAATTGTATATGTGCTAAAAACAACTAAAAATGTAAAAACAAAAGTAGGAGTGTTCTCAATTTATATATAGTTTTAAAATGGTAAACATATGAAATAGTATACACCAAAATGATGTATAAAGGTGATTTTTTATTGCACTTAACATAATGTCATTTTCTAATAAAAAATTGAACCATAAGCTATGCATGTGTGCTCCAATTATCCGACGTATATATCGCAATGATAACATAAAAAAGAATTCAAAAATATAACTTATAAGTGGTATGCATGGCTTCCTAATGTGGCATGATTGGTGGTAAAATTAATGCAAAAAGTAACTTAAGCATAGTTGATTCGCATGGGAGAATATCATACGGAAACCAACATTCGGTGGAAACCGATGAAAACCACAAGAAAAAGATATTTTGAAATTTAAAAAAAAAATCAAAAAAATTACAGAATGTTAAGAGGGTGATGTTTTATTGCCACACAAAATTTCAAGTTGAAACACATTACGAGATGTGAGGTATGAAAAAGACAAAATCAGCGTTAAATAGTGTCGAATAGTAACATCACTATTCAAGGCTGAATTTGTTTTTTTCATAGCTTACATCTCATAATAATGTTTTTCAACTTGAAATTTTGTGTAGCAATAAAACATCACATTTTTAACATCCCATGTTTTTTAGATTTTTAAAAACTTTAAAATATGGTTTTCATGAAGTTTTCATTGAATATTGGTTTCCGTATGATGGAGAATATCAGCATAGCCGCGTGCTAAGGAAAATTAAATAGTGGGTTGCATGCAAAAAAATTAACTTATTGGTTTCCGTATGGCTGCATGATTAGAAGAAAAAACTGGCAATGGATTGTACCTATTTAGGAATAGAGAACTACAAAAATCCAACACTGTTCGAGATCAAATCAATAGACTTCCATTCACATCTCTGTATTTGTTTATTTGCACTTTGTTTCTCGAGTGTCTGCGTTTTACTAGTATGTTTTTGTGGAAATTTCATTGGCAATTTTATATAAACATTGATGCTTAAAATTTAAATTATGGTTCTCTTCATGCACCTTTCTCATCATTGCTCGTGTTGCAGTTGTGTTATTTGATTAGAGCATCTCCAACAGCCGCCGAATGCGCCGCGCGCTAAAAACTACTTTGCCGCGCGCCCATCACCTGATTTGGCGCGGCGGGCAGCGCTGGCTCCAGCAGGCGCGCTAAAATGCAGCACGCGCGACTCTCGCACAAACAACATATGCATTTCAAAACAGAAGCAAAAAGATCAAACACAAACAAAATAAATCAAAAAAATAGTTCAATTTCGTTATTACAACTCAAACAAACAGTTTATCGTTCAATACAACAAATAGTGCAATGAACACAACAAATAGTTTAACAATACAATATCGAACGCACAAATCATGATGCTCTTTGTCGTCCATTCCATGCCCACCACTCCTCAATGAGATCCTTCTGAAGATCATCATGCGCTGCGGGACGTCGAATGGCATGATAGGAGGCAACAAAACGGGTCACTCTTTCAGCCCTCCGTCACACTCGCACGATATGTCCCAAGAGCTCATATTGAGAGTAGTCTACATCTTGGCCACGCTCATTCTCGATAATCATGTTATGTATGATCACACAAGCGTGCATGATGTACCAAAGCATTTTTTGATCCCAAAATCTAGCCGGTCCTCTCACAATAGTAAATTGGGCTTGCAAAATCCCAAAAGCTCTCTCCACATCTTTTCTAGCCGCCGCCTGAGCATTGTGGAAATCAAGATTTTTCTTACCTTCCGGCTTTTTCAACGGCTTCACAAAGGTTTGCCACTTTGGATAGATGTCATCCGCTAGATAATAGTCATAGTTGTATGTACGGTCATTTGCTACAAACTGCACCAGTGGCAAATCACCATTTGCAATCTTATTCATCAGTGGTGATCGGTTGACAACATTGATGTCATCCAAAGATCCAGACATTCCAAAGAATGCATGCCAAATTCAAGTCTCTTGATCGGCCACCGCTTCAAGGATTATAGTGGAACCCTTTTTTTGACCGTGGAATTGCACATGCCATGTCTTTGGACAATTTTTCCAACTCCAATGCATGCAATCTATTGAGCCAAGCATACCAGGAAAGTCGTGAACTTTGTTCATCTCCAATAGCCTTGCGGCGTCTTCAGCATTGGGAGATCTCAAATACTCCTGGCCAACACTTGCACAATTCCGATTGCGAAGCGCTTGACACACATGATGGCTTGGCTCTCACCCAAAGCCAAGTGATCATCAACTAAATCAGCCGGGATACCGTATGCCAACATACGCAAAGCGGCTGTCACCTTCTGAAAGGTGCTATGCCCGAGCTCTCCGGCGGCATTCCTCCTCTATTGAAAAAATCGGTCATGGCTCGCTAGTTTCTCTGCAATGCGCCTGAACAACTCGGTGCTCATCCTAAACCAGCGACGAAAATACAACTTGGATGATTGTACACAACAGGTGTGGAAAGTGTGATAGAGCTCGAAAATGGATGCCCCTATTTCAATTTAATAAGTGCTTGTGCAACGGCTTGAAAGTTACAGACTGAGTCAAGTGACCTGTTTTTGTCACATGATCCAGAATTGCACGAGAACCTACAAGTCCTGTTATCGTTCTTAATTCGATAGCCACGGGACAACCGTTTTCTCGTCTCTCAGCCTTTCTTATACCTGCACTGACCTCAACGGTATCCAACCTGCTAAAAATATCTATACCCATTAGCTCATCACACCAACAGTTCTCTTGGGTTGACTGGTATGTGGGATTCTCCGTAAAATAATGCCTGATCAATCTGTTATGGGCATCGATCCTATCCCTCTAAATTTTCTGCCGACCCATAACCGAACCACCGTGCTTCGGTTTTTTATTGATGTGCATAGCTAGGATCATTGCAAGATCCTCCTCTTCCATATCAAATTCTTCTTCGGAAGAATCATACGACGAACTCATCTACAATGTTCAATACTATGCTATAAAAACTAAAATCAACATGCACCAAATTCATGAAGTTTGAGCAATACATACCTTGCAGGTGTTTAGTCGAACACCTTGCGGGCGCCGAGCGGCAGCGAGCGCCCGGGCGCTGTTCGTCGAAGGACGGACGCGCGCGAGGGGCGGCTGTGACTAGAGGGGGCGGAGGAAGCCGCCGCGGTGCGGGGATAGGCCGGGGAAGCGCCGGAACAGTCGCCGGGTGGTGCGGGCGGCGGCGGCGCCGCGGCTGGAGGGGGGTGAGTTGCGAGCGAGCGCGTGAGAGTCCAGCGCGCGGGAGCGGGCGTAGCAAATAAGCGGCGCGCGATGGAGTTTCGGCCCGTGCGCCGAACTAGATATGCCGTGCGCGCGGTTTTTGCGCGCCCGCTGGAGCCACTATACCGATTGTGCACGCGCTAAAAGGGCAATTTTGTGGCGCGGCGCTTGTTTGGCGCGGCTGTTGGAGATGCTCTTATAGTGTTGTAAGCCTATATTCAAATGTACTTAGTTGAAAGAATTTTTTATTTAAAGAACTCACAAACCACAACATTTGAACATTGTTTTCTTTTGTGACAATGACTTGTATCTATTATAAAGTTTCACCAGAAATATGAAGCATCCCCAACATAATTAAAAAAATACATCAAAGTCCCCGAACCATCACACGAGCACTATTGCTGCCAGAACGAGCCACCGACATGCCACTGTTGCCGCTCCCATACTGGAGCCGACTAACCTTATCGATGACAGCCGGTAAGTCATCATGCACGTGCCCCTAAAGGAAAATGCTCTGGAGTTGTAGTCGTCGTTGTTGAACCCTTGAATCAATCTGAAGAAGCTAACACGAAATCTCGCCATTGCGTATGCACGATGAGAAGCCCTAACATCACTGCCCCGAGGAGCTGGTGAGGATCTACGCCGGAGCTCCGTCTAATATGTCTCGATGGACGAACTTGAGGAGAATTGGAGCCCGAAAGACTGACTCGAAGAAGAAATGTTGTCATCCGTCCGCTATCTACTAGTCGAAGCTGAGCATTATGATTCTCCTCCCTACCACCGAAGAGGTAGACGTAGTGTTGTTCTTCTTTATGTGTGTATCGCTTTCGTACTTCTTTCTTCATGTGAAGTTTTTTATTTAATTCTTTGCATATGTCTCTCCTATATGCTTTTGCTGATAGGAGATTAGACACCATAGAAGGGGTACGTACTTTAGCATGATGTGTTCTTAGAGATTTTCTAGAGAAATAAATATTGGTATCACACACTTTAAAGTTGGATACGGGCAAGATCATCACCTGCCAATGCTGGATTGGGTTTGGGTTTTTATTAGGCGATATTAGGTCTCTATGATGCAATATTTTTGTCAGTGTATATCCATAAATAATGATAAACATTATTTGGCACACTTTCTCAACATAGCATGTTATTTGCGATCTTGCATATGTTGTTTTGTTTTAATGTATATTAGATATTTGACATGATGTATTGCTTCAAACTCCTATTGTTGTTACCATGACACTGCTTTACTTCCTTGGTATTATATTTTGCTTTGGATTATGTAATTTTCTAAAGTAGAGACCCAAATCATCATAACTTAATTTCGACTCCGCTTGTCACACATGTCGTGTGGTATTATATGTTGCTTACACAAATAACATCTGCATACACATATTTACTACTTGCGCATGTCTTGTGTGTAGTATTGATATATGCATACACTCTTTTAGTATTCTTAGTTTACCACGTACTACGATTGCCATCTTATGGATGATGCCACACATCTCTACGTTACTCGTGCGAGTGTATCCGATCAGTTTGATTAGATATTTTGCAAAGAAAATGCTTTTATTGATTAAATTAGAAGTGTTAGTAGTGATCTCTCTCTCCCTCTCCCTCTCTCTCATACACACACACCCTCTCTATTCCCTTCGCCACTTGAATTCATGATGGATCTTGATAGAAGCCTCGTCGATGACGAGCCAAAGACGGATAATATCCCAAGGGGATAATACAATAATCTAGCATGATGCTTGTGATGGGTCAACAGTCAATAGAACGTCGACACCCTCATAGGTACTTCTCACATATTGTACAAACCTGGTACGAATTTAGCTGGAGAATTGGCAGGGGGTAAGGTGAGATGTCTTAAGAAACATAAATCTTACTTAGACTATGAAGTACGCATGCCAGTCATTGTTTAAAATGATGGAATTGAAGTCTTGTTTTGTTCCTTATGTAGAAGGAAAGAGGGAAATGGGAAAATTATTAAGGTCTATGAGGACTGGTAGATTGTCAACTAACCTCTTGTTGTAGCATTTGCAATGTTATAGACCGTTACATTCTCTCAAAACATCAACAATCTATACTATGATGACCAAGGTTTGGGTTTGCCATGTTTAAGTTTTAGAAGAAATATCAGGGGACAATGTATAGAAATGTGGGTAGCAATGGAAAGGTTACTTGATGGTGTTGTGTTTCCAATGATGATGATACTGTTGGAAATATGCCCTAGAGGCAATAATAAATTGATTATTATTATATTTCCTTGTTCGTGATAATCGTTTATTATCCATGCTAGAATTGTATTGATAGGAAACTCAGATACATGTGTGGATACATAGACAACACCATGTCCCTAGTAAGCCTCTAGTTGACTAGCTCGTTGATCAATAGATGGTTACGATTTCCTGACCATGGACATTGGATGTCATTGATAACGGGATCACATCATTAGGAGAATGATGTGATGGACAAGACCCAATCCTAAGCCTAGCACAAGATCATGTAGTTCGTATGCTAAAGCTTTTCTAATGTCAAGTATCATTTCCTTAGACCATGAGATTGTGCAACTCCCGGATACCGTAGGAGTGCTTTGGGTGTGCCAAACATCACAATGTAACTGGGTGGCTATAAAGGTACACTACAGGTATCTCTGAAAGTATCTGTTGGATTGGCATGAATCGAGACTGAGATTTGTCACTCCGTGTAAATGGAGAGGTATCTCTGGGCCCACTCGGTAGGACATCATCATAATGTGCACAATGTGATCAAGGAGTTGATCACGGGATGATGTGTTACAAAACGAGTAAAGAGACTTGCCGGTAACGAGATTGAACAAGGTATCGGGATACCGACGATCGAATCTCGGGCAAGTATCGTACCGCTAGACAAAGGGAATTGTATACGGGATTGATTAAGTCCTTGACATCGTGGTTCATCCGATGAGATCATCGTGGAACATGTGGGAGCCAACATGGGTATCCAGATCCCGCTGTTGCTTATTGACCGGAGAGTCATCTCGGTCATGTCTACATGTCTCCCGAACACGTAGGGTCTACACACTTAAGATTCGGTGACGCTAGGGTTATAGAGATATTAGTATGCGGTAACCCGAAAGTTGTTCGGAGTCCCGGATGAGATCCCGGACGTCACGAGAAGTTCCGGAATGGTCCGGAGGTAAAGAATTATATATAGGAAGTGCTATTTCGGCCATCGGGACAAGTTTCGGGGTCACCGGTATTGTACCGGGACCACCGGAAGGGTCCCGGGGGTCCACCGGGTGGGGCCACCTGCCCCGGGGGGCCACATGGGCTGTAGGGGGTGCGCCTTGGCCTATATGGGCCAAGGGCACCAGCCCCAAGAGGCCCATGCACCAAGAGAAGAGGGAAAGGAAGAGTCCTAAAGGGGGAAGGCACCTCCGAGGTGCCTTGGGGAGAAGGGACACCTCCCTGGCCGCACCCTTCCTTGGAGGAAGGGCCAAGGCTGCGCCCCCCCCCTCTCCCTTGGCCATATATTTAGTGGGGGGAAGGGAGGGCAGCAACATCTAAGCCCTGGCGCCTCCCTCTCCCTCCCATGACACATCTCCCTCCTCCCGCAGCGCTTGGCGAAGCCCTGTTGAAATCCCGCTACTTCCACCACCACGCCGTCGTGCTGCTGGATCTTCATCAACCTCTCATCCCCCCTTGCTGGATCAAGAAGGAGGAGACATCGCTGCTCCGTACGTGGATCATCGGTGATTTGGATCACAACGAGTACGACTCCATCAACCCCGTTCTCTTGAACGCTTCCGCGCGCGATCTACAAGGGTATGTAGATCCACTCCTCCCTCGTTGCTAGATGACTCCATAGATTGATCTTGGTGATGCGTAGAAAATTTTGAATTTCTGCTATGTTCCCCAACAGATACAGTGGTATGGACCCCATGAACTACGGGTAAACACTTTGTAAAATATTTTAGCTTGCAACTAAATTCCATTTGGTATGTATCCTAAAACTTGGCTACAAAAGTCCAAGTTACATCCCAAATTAAGATTTCTGTTGGTTTGTGCTTCATACAAGCATTTTGACTAGATATATTTTACTCGGAGGACATGTTAGTGAAGGAAATATGCCCTAGAGGCAATAATAAAGTTATTATTTATTTCCTTATATCATGATAAATGTTTATTATTCATGCTAGAATTGTATTAACCGGAAACATAATACTTGTGTGAATACATAGATAAACAAAGTGTCACTAGTATGCCTCTACTTGACTAGCTCGTTAATCGAAGATGGTTATGTTTCCTAACCATAAACAAAAGAGTTGTTATTTGATTAAAGGGATCACATCATTAGGAGAATGATGTGATTGACATGACCCATTCCATTAGCTTAGCACCCGATCGTTTAGTATGTTGCTATTGCTTTCTTCATGACTTATACATGTTCCTATGACTATGAGATTATGCAACTCCCGTTTGCCGGAGGAACACTTTGTGTGCTACCAAACGTCACAACGTAACTGGGTGATTATAAAGGAGCTCTACAGGTGTCTCCAAAGGTACATGTTGGGTTGGCGTATTTCGAGATTAGGATTTGTCACTCCGATTGTTGGAGAGGTATCTCTGGGCCCTCTCGGTAATGCACATCACATAAGCCTTGCAAGCATTGCAACTAATGAGTTAGTTGTGAGATGATGTATTACGGAACGAGTAAAGAGACTTGCCGGTAACGAGATTGAACTAGGTATTAAGATACCGATGATCGAATCTCGGGCAAGTAACATACCGATGACAAAGGGAACAATGTATGTTGTTATGCGGTCTGACCGATAAAGATCTTCGTAGAATATGTGGGAGCCAACATGAGCATCCAGGTTATGGTATTGGTTATTGACTGAAGACGTGTCTTGTCATGTCTACATTGTTCTCAAACCCGTAGGGTCCGCACGCTTAAGGTTTCGATGACAGTTATATTATGAGTTTATGAGTTTTGATGTACCGAAGGAGTTCGGAGTCCCGGATGAGATCGGGGACATGACGAGGAGTCTCGAAATGGTTGAGACGTAAAGATCGATATATTGGACGACTATATTCGGATATCGGAAAGGTTCCGAGTGATTCGGGTATTTTTCAGAGTACCGGGTAGTTACGGGAGAAGCAATGGGCCTTGATGGGCTTTAGTGGGAAGAGAAGAAAGGGCCGAAGGGCTGCTGCGCCCCCCCCCCCTCCCCTCTGGTCCGAATTGGACTAGGGAAAAGGGGGCCGACCACCTTTCCTTCTCCTCTACTTCCTTCTCCCTTCCTCCCCTCTTGGTGGACTCCTACTAGGACTTGGAGTCCTAGTAGGACTCCACATCTTGGCCGCACCAATTGCCTTGGCCGGCCCCCTCCTCCTCCATCCTTTATATACTGAGGCAAGGGGCACCCCATGGACACAAGTTGATCCATGTGATCATATTCTTAGCCGTGTGCGGTGCCCCCTTCCACCATAGTCCTCGATAATATTGTAGCGGTGCTTAGGCGAAGCCCTGCGACGGTAGTGCATCAAGATCGTCACCACGCCATCGTGCTGACGGAACTCTTCCCCGACACTTTG